AGCACGGAACTTGTTTCAATCAAATGGCATAGTATTAGGGTAGGAAGCTTCCCTTTGTTATAGAAATCCACAAACAACATTATGGAACTTCCAAACCAAAGAAATCCAAGATGAGAAGGAGCTTTTTACGTTACGCTTCAATAGAATGAATTCGGTAAGGGTAGAATAGGCCCTATGGTCGATCGAAGGTGCTGTCCATTTGAACTCACATCTATCTGACCTTCAATCCAGCCAGCTCATAACAAAATGTTAGACCAATCTCAGGGCTGACACAACCGAATTGGTTGAGGAAAAGGAAACCCCAGCGACCAAGCACTCCCGCCCCCAAAAGCAGAGACCGAATAACTGCCAGGTTGTCGAGGAAACGTCTGAAGAGGAGGCGGGCGCCCTCTAAGTTGACCACCCTACCCACTAATGGACTATGATGGGGGGGGGGGGGGAAGGCGAATGGGAACCGACCAAAAACCCTCTCTTTACTCAATGGATAACGCTTATTCTCTTTCAATCAACAAAATGAGAAATGGGGAGAAAGAAAAAAAAGAGGTCTTTATTGAAGAGGCTTTGCACCTGAAATAGGACTAATGCAGATCCAGAAGAATGGTCTGGGCTTTCGAAAAGATGAAGATGCAAGGGGTAAAGAGACATTCTTTTGAACAAGCAAGCTGACATTCGGATTCTAGCTCGCGCCCACTTAAAGCAGATGGAGATTCTCGGACGGGGAAAAGCGGCACTCGACATCTATTAAACAAGACCAAGAACAAAGCCATACCTTGCCCTCTGGAGAAAGTAGTGATGATTGCCATGAATGCTACCCTCGAGGACGTGTACAAGAAGGTCTTTGCTGATTCCTATCAACATGGTGCATCTCTTAGTAAATCTGTTGAAGTTTTTCTATGTAGGTTCGAATCCTGCCTCTCCCACTTGTTTGTTGTAGACTTCAGAGAAGAGAAAAGAGGCATTCGTCAGCGTAGGAAGGCAAACTGAGCGAAGCTCTTTCTTTTTTTTTGGCCGTGTCGTGAAGTGAAATTGTATCGTATGTTAGTAAGAGAGGTTGGCGAACTACTACGATCTATAGATTTCCCATCTATATCCAATCCCAACAAGAATAGAAGCGATTCGCTTCCGGCCTGTCTTGTAGTCGTAGTCTTTTAGGTTATGTAGTTGTCGGCCTTCCTACACGCATGCGTCCGCCAGAATGCCTCCTTGGTTCGGGATGAAGCCAAGCCGATACATACGATAGGAGAAGGAAAGACCCCCATTTCATAGCGCCTGGGGAACGCAAGTTTGATCGAGGATTGGAGAGGAGAGGTGGAAGAAAGGGCTCGGGATGGATTTAGGAGTCTTTGTGCGAGCTGTATGCGGTGAGAGTCGCACGTACGGTAACGAGGGGGGTTCGCGTCTATTCGTGTAGTGTGGTGCTTAGGCCTACCCACCCTATTTGTTCCATGATCTATGGGTCTACTGGACCTACCCACTTCGATCAATTAGCCAAGATTTTGACCGGATACGAAATCACTGGTGCTCGATCTAGTGGTATTTTTATGGGGATTCTATTTATCGCTGTAGGATCCCTATTCAAGATCATTGCAGTTCCTTTAGGGTGGGTGGTACCGCTCAGATTGCGGCCAATCTACCTAACCGCACGCGGGCCGGGCTTAGAGCGCGTGAAACTCATCACTACCTCGTAAGGGCGTTGAGACCATAGCATGTTACACGAAAGCGCCGTTTTCTCTGTAGTGTTGTCACACAGCTGCCCGCCTAGAAGAGCACCTCGCTCTGTAGTGTTGTCACACAAGATAAGCACGCTGCCCGCCTGCTGGCCGGCGATCGAGTATCTCGGTCACTGTCCNATTCCCCATCTCATTGGGGGCGGAAAACGAATCGACATCTCGATGTGATACAGCCCTTTCGATTTTAGTTGGGAAAGAACGGCGAAGTCCATCCGAACCGTCCAATGAAGAATAAGAGGAGAGCAAAGCGCCAATGGCGCGCGAAGCGCATGCGGAACGGGCACGGAGAAAAAGAAGTGTGGAGGAGAAGCAGCCGAGCTCATTCCCTTCGCTTCCTGGGCCCAAAGCAGTGCAGTCTTTCCTGGCCAAATCAAGGATTTGGGGCTTCTTGCTACGCTACAACACTATAAAAATCCATTTTGATTAGTAATATATATGAATAGAAAGATAGATCCATCCATCTATCCTATCCGATTTAGATTTTGATATCTAAAAAAGAATCGATTTCATTCAACGTTTGATTCAAAGAACTGCGCTTAGCCCCCCCGCTCATGAAACGGACTCTGCTGCAATGGATGGCAGAGGGTCCGGTAGTACCCGAACGCACTGGAGTGATCCAGTAGCCGGGAAGGGGCCGTAGAAGTGCCTACTACTACACCACACTACACTTGGCTCTACACATTTACAGAGCTAACCCCTGTCCAGTGCCTGGCAGAGCTAAGGGGGCGTTCAATCCTTACTCTTTATCCCCACTCTTCGCCCAGGCTAACGGGGCCGTTACTTATTCAGGGGGAGCCTCGAAAAGCACTGTTGAGAGGAAGATCCTTGGCCCCTCTTCATTCTCTACAGGGTTCCAAACCTTTCTTCAACATAGGTGACAACGAGCCAGGCAGAGATGGAAGAGATCAAACACGGGAATAAGAAGCAAGCTTGCCTTCCTTTTTGATCATTTTGATAGAGGGGGATGAAGAAAGTGGACAAAACAGACTCGCATTTGTCATCGGACAAATACAGGAAAAGAATCATATTGAAAACGCTCCTAACCCAACCCCTTCCTTCGTAGAGCCCGTGTATTGTAAGTGATCCGAACCTGCCCGGAGCGAGCCTCCCATAGAGGCAAGTGAAGTTGGTGAGCCGTATGATGGGCAACTATCTCCTGCGGTTCGGAGAGGACTCAGCTTTAGTTAGTACCCCCTTGGTTTCGGGGTGGACCTTTTCACTCTATTTTATTATATACGCTTAGCGAAAAGAATGTTTTTTGATACACCTAGGACATGGATTCTATATGAACCAATGGATCGTGAGAAGTCGTTACTACTAGCAATGACTTTCTCTTTCATTACTTCATTCTTTCCATATCCCTCTCCTTTGTTCTCAGTTACTCATCAAATGGCACTCAGTTCATATCTGTAAGTTCGATCATTGACAAGGTTCAAAGAAAGGGTGGGCCATTGACAAAGAATCGATGGGAAACCACAACGCTAGTAGATGGAGGGCCTCCGCTTTTCTTTTCATTAATGAAACCCGCCAATTATTATGAACTCAAATAAAAAAAGGGATTTAGAAGGCTTGTTCAAAAGAAAAAAAGACGTGGGTGGCATTATGACTGGGGTGTCAGTTAGAAAGGTTCTTACAATGTTCGTTCAATCAAGCAGCATTCTTTTTTTCTTAACTTAAGGAGAGGGAAGAGGGCTTTCTAAGAAGGGCTTGGGACCTATGAACAGAACAACACAACAAAATGATGAAATGAAGAAGAATGAACGGGAGGCATCGGAGGAAGGACTGACGAACTTCTTACTTGTGTTTGGTTAACTACTTTACTGACTTGGGTTTCTTTCTCGTAAGTGGTATACCTACACCCCGCACGCACACTCACTATATCTATATACGTATAAGTTTCTAGCCTTTCGAAAAAGCCCCTCTCCCTTCGTCTACGCGCTTCTGCATAGTATGTCGTTTATATGCTTCTTAATAAGTCAGAGGCCCCTCTTTTTTGTTCTTCTTTTGCTTGCGCACCAATCCGGGGGCTAAGGGAGCCAATTCTTAAGACTCAAGATGCAACTTACGGCAGTCTTTGATCTAGATATAAGGCTTCGAGCTGGTACAGAATACCCGGCTTTAGAGCTTGATGCAGTCAAACTTTACCCTATTTCAAGGTTGCCACTAAGCAACATTTTCTGATGATGGTGAAGAGTATTCTCCCACAATGTCTGTTGGCAGGTCGGCTTTCGGAGTTTGAGTCTCAAGCTAGGGATCACCACTTCCTTAAGCAGAAGCTCCGATATGAAATAGCAATCGTTATAGATAGACTTTGAGGTGCTTGAATAGCTGCAGCCTAGCCTTTTCGTTAACTGGATCTCCTACCTCCACTGTTAATAAGTGGCGGCAAGACTCGAATCCTGGACCTCTGCCTGATCTACTATGGTGAATTATGTGAACCACCTCATCTAAAAAACTTAGATATCAGAGAGGGAACACTTTTTATTTAGTTAATTATGTATTAACAGCTAGTACGTCGTTGCTGAGTTAGAATACCCCAAACAATGCCATTTGAACACTTGGTTAAAAAAGAATTTTGAATAAAGTCAAGCGCACCAACTGCGTGTGATAACTAGAAATTCACAATTATAAAGAGTCTCGAGTTTCCCATAGAAAGCATGTGGCTCAACAGTTTCATGATTTAGGCAGAGTTTTGGTTATGTCTATCTTATCCACCATATATAACAATGAACTTTGTCCAACACCATTAAATAGGATAGAGCAATGCTTAACTTGCAGTTCATGACACAATGGAGTATCTTAGACAAGATGAAATTGAGGATTTGTCATTGTCCCCTCCAGTTGTTGGCTCCATGCAGATTGTTGGAAGCAATGGCTTTGGCCATAACATAGAGTTCATGTCTCAAGCTTACCTCAGAAACAGAAGCTCTGAAATTGATATAGAGGTAGAGGATGATACATCAATTGCTGATAAAGATCAACCCCTCCCCATATTTCTCAAAGTACTTTTTTTTTCTCTAACCAATCTTTCATTTCTCAGAAATGTTTCAAAGAATCAAATTGTTGATATATGTTTCAGAGTTTTGGCTTCTGCCATTTAAATGGTCTTTGAATGCAGTTTGCAGATGTTGAGTACAAGGTGAAGATTAGCCAAGCTTCCTCCAACAATCCTGTCAAGGAAGTTGTATCAAAGGTAGCTTCCCAGTTTGAGCATGACAATTACAAGCAGATACTCAAGGGTATAACAGGAAGGGTGAAATTCTTGCCTTAATGGGGCCTTCTGGCAGTGGGAAAACAACCTTGTTAAAGATATTTGGAGGAAGATTGCAAGAAAATGTCAGAGGAACTGTCACATACAATGACATCCCATATAATACAGCTATCAATAGGAGGTATATTACCTATCCATCAATAATTCTTTTTTCCTTCTCTCTTTCTATTGCCTTAAAACCAAGAATATATAAAAGTCTTTCTTTCAATGTACATGATTTTGTATTAACTTCCATACCGAATTGAGCAATGTTGTGCTAGGTGGGTTTCGTGACACAAGATTATGTGCTTTTTCCACAATTGACTGTAGAGGAAACCTTAGTTTTTGTTGCATTCTTAAGACTTCCAAGCAAGATGAGTCGACGTCAGAAGTATGAAAGAGCTGAAGTGATTATTAAAGAATTAGGCCTGGAAAGGTATGTGAGCTACCTTTCCATGAACTTCCTTCTCGCCCTTGATTACAAAGCACCACAATCTAAAACTGCCAAAAGAAATTGAACATGATTGTTGCAATTGTTCATTCCTGAATTTCACAATCATAGATGTCGTCACACGAGAATAGGTGGAGGACTTATTAAAGGCATATCTAGGGGAGAGAGAAAAAGAACTAGCATGGGGTATGAAATCCTTGTTGATCCTTCTCTCCTCTTGCTCGACGAACCAACTTCAGGCCTTGATTCGTCCTCCGCAAGGAAGGAACGAGTCGGTTCCNTCGACGAAGGGAGGGAGGTGCGGCGGGGGAAGGAAAACGCTTTCGGAGATCGAGATTTTTGTTTCATCGAAAACGAAGAAGGCTGAGGATGGCCTACGGTGCGTCTTATCTGAAGGGAACATGCTTTTTTGACCGCCGTGGTATGATTTCCGGGCCCTCTCCTCATTCCGCCCTTCCTATTGGGATAGCTGCCTTCGGGCTTTGCCTGCCCTTTATAATTAAAAATTCCGGCTCGGCCCGGGAAAGCGCTGGCAACAACAGAAAGGAAGGGGTCCATGTAGCTGCTGTGTCCGCCCCCTTCTTAGTCAATGGGGCACAGCAGGTTCGACATCTACTACAAAAGAGAGAATCCACTTCAGATAACCACGTCTCTGCTAGGCAGCGTGTGGAATGGCCGAGAGCGGACCTTTTTGGATATATAATCCAAGTCGAGAGTAGAGTTATAGGAAAAGCCTTCTGATGGAAAACTACTTTCACGTTCGTTTCAGAGAGCACTTTTTTTGTTGAGAATTCCTCGTTCCCTTTCGTGTGAATTCCCCAGCGGCGAATTCAAAACTTGTGGGCCCCTATCTATTCCATCTCTCGAGCCCCGAAAAAAACCCCCTACCCTTTGGACTCCATATATCTTTTGACTCTATATATGTGGGCACCTGATATTTATGAGGGTTCACTCACCCCGGTTATAACATTCCTTTCTATTGCGCCTAAAATCTCTATTTCTGCTAATATTTCACGTGTTTCTATTTATGGTTCTAATGGAGCTACATTGCAACAAATCTTCTTTTTCTGCAGCATTGCTTCTATGATCTTAGGAGCACTGGCCGACATGGCCCAAACGAAAGTAAAAAGACTTCTAGCTCATAGTTCAATTGGACATGTAGGTTATATTCGTACTGGTTTCTCATGTGGAACCATAGAAGGAATTCAATCACTACTAATTGGTATCTTTATTTATGCATAAATGACGATAGATGCATTCGCCATAGTTTTAGCATTACGGCAAACCCGTGTCAAATATATAGCTGATTTGGGCGCTCTAGCCAAAACGAATCCTATTTTGGCTTTTACCTTCTCCATTACTATGTTCTCATACGCAGGAATACCCCCGTTAGCCGGATTTTGTAGCAAATTCTATTTGTTCTTCGCCGCTTTGGGTTGTGGGGCTTACTTCCTAGCCCCAGTGGGAGTAGTGACTAGATTTATAAGTCGTTGGGTGGCCGGAAGGTTGCCACGAGTAAGTAAGTTTGGGGGACCGAAGGCAGTTCTGCGTGCACCAGACACGTAGCTTACCGAATCAGTTGCGACACGGATGGGAATGCATGCTACGAAAGATAGGTTCGAGTCTGATACATCAACCGTCTACTCAATATCCTTGTACGAGTCCACAATGACTACACGAGATGAACCTTGGTTTGGTGAATTGAAGTTGGCCTTAGGTGTAATAGGACTCCCAGTTACTGCGCGCGATCGTATACTGAGGTGCTCCCCGCCGGCTGTTGGAACGACGCGAGCCGGGCCGGGGGCGGAAAACGAATCGACATCTCGATGTGATACAGCCCTTTGGATTTTAGTTGGGAAAGAACGACGAAGTCCATCTGAACCATCCAATGAAGAATAAGAGGAGATCAAAGTGCCAATGGCGCGCGAAGCGCATGCCAAACGGGCACGGAGAAAAAGAAGTGTGGAGGAGAAGCAGCCGAGCTCATTCCCTTCGCTTCTTGGGCCCAAAGCAGTGCAGTCTTTCTTGGCCAAATCAAGGATTTGGGGCTTCTTGCTACGCTACAACACTATAAAAATCCATTTTGATTAGTAATATATATGAATAGAAAGATAGATCCATCCATCTATCCTATCCGATTTAGATTTTGATATCTAAGAAAGAATCGATTTCATTCAACGTTTGATTCAAAGAACTACGCTTAGCCCCCTGCTCATAAAACGGCTCTGCTGCAATGGATGGCAGAGGGTCTGTAGTACCCGAAGCACTGGAGTGATCCAGTAGCCGGGAAGGGGCCTAGAAGTGCCTACTACTACACCACACTACACTTGGCTCTACACATTTACAGAGCTAACCCCTATCCAGTGCCTGGCAGAGCTAAGGGGGCTTCAATCCTTACTCTTTATCTCGATCTTCGCCTAGGCTAACGGGGCCTTACTTATTCAGAGGGATCCTCAAAAAGCACTATTGAGAGGAAGATCCTTGGCTCCTCTTCATTCTCTACAGGGTTCCAAACCTTTCTTCAACATAGGTGACAACGAGCCAGGTAGAGATGGAAGAGATCAAACACGGGAATAAGAAGCAAGCTCGCCTTCCTTTTTGATCATTTTGATAGAGGGGGATGGAGAAAGTGGACAAAACAGACTTGCATTTCTCATCGAACAAATACAGGAAAAGAATCATATTGAAAACGCTCCTAACCCAACCCCTTCCTTCGTAGAGCCCGTGTATTGTAAGTGATCCGAACCTGCCCGGAGCGAGCCTCCCATAGAGGCAAGTGAAGTTGGTGAGCTGTATGATGGGCAACTATCTCCTGCGGTTCGGAGAGGACTCAGCTGTTTGTTAGTACCCCCTTGGTTTTAGGGTGGACCTTTTCACTCTATTTTATTATATACGCTTAGCGAAAAGAATGTTTTTTGATACACCTAGGACATGGATTCTATATGAACCAATGGATCGTGACAAGTCGTTAGTACTAGCAATGACTTCCTCTTTCATTACTTCATTCTTTCCATATCCCTCTCCTTTGTTCACAGTTACTCATCAAATGGCACTCAGTTCATATCTTTAAGTTCGATCATTGACGAGGTTCAAAGAAAGGGTGGGCCATTGACAAAGAATCGATGGAAAACCACAATGCTAGCAGATGGCGGGCCTCCGCTTTTCTTTTCATTAATGAAATCCGCCAGTTATTATGAACTCAAATAAAAAAAATGGATTTAGAAGGCTTGTTCAAAAGAAAAAAAGACGTGGGTGGCATTATGACTGGGGTGTCAGTTAGAAAGGTTCTTACAATGTTCGTTCAATCAAGCAACATTATTTTTTTCTTAACTTAAGGAGAGGGAAGAGGGCTTTCTAAGAAGGGCTTGGGACCTATGAACAGAACAACACAACAAAATGATGAAATGAAGAAGAATGAACCGGAGGTATCGGAGGACGCACTGACGAACTTCTTACTTGTGTTTGGTTAACTAATTTACTGTCTTGGGGTTCTTTCTCGTCAGTGGTATACCTATACCCCACACGCACACTCACTATATCTATTTACGTAAAAGTTTCTAGCCTTTTAAAAAAGCCCCTCTCCTTACAGTCAAGTGGCTTTCAGCCCCTCTCCCTTCGTCTATGCGCTTCTGCTTAGTATGTCGTTTATATGCTTCTTAATAAGCCAGAGGCCCCTCTTTTTTGTTCTTCTTTTGCTTGCGCACCAATCCGGGGGCTAAGGGACCCAATTCGTAAGACTCAAGATACAACTTACGGTAGTCTTTGATCTAGTTATAAGGTTTCGAGCTGGTACAGAATACCCGGCTTTAGAGCTTGATGCAGTCAAACTTGACCCTATTTCAAGGTTGCCGCTAAGCAACATTTTCTGATGATGGTGAAGAGTATTCTGCCACAATGTCTGTTGGCAGGTCGGCTTCCGGAGTTTGAGTCTCAAGCTAGGGATCACCACTTCCTTTAGCAGAAGCTCCGATATGAAATAGCAATCGTTATAGATAGACTTTGAGATGCTTGAATAACTGTAGCCTAGCCTTTTCGTTAACTGGATCTCCTACCTCCACTGTTAATAAGTGGCGGCAAGACTCGAATCCTGGACCTCTGCCTGCTCTACTATGGTGAATTGTGTGAACCTTCTCATCTAAAAAACTTAGATATCAAAGAGGGAACACTTTGATTTTGTTAATTATGTATTAACAACTAGTATGTCGTTGCTGAGTTACAATACCCCAAACAGTGTCATTTGATCACTTGGTTAAAAAAGAATTTTGAAGAAAGTCAAGCGCACCAAGTGCGTGTGATAACTAGAAATTCACAATTAGAAAGAGTCTATAGTTTCCCATAGAAAGCATGTGGCTTAACAGTTTCAAGATTTCGGCAGAGTTTTGGTTATGTCTATCTTATCCACCATATATAACAATGAACTTTGTCCAACACCATTAAACAGGATAGAGCAACGCTTAACTTGCAGTTCAAGACACAATGGAGCATCTTAGACAAGATGAAATTGAGGATTTGTCTCCTCTCCAGCTGTTGGCTCCATGCAGATTGCTGGAAGCAATGGCTTTGGCCATAACATAGAGTTCATGTCTCAAGCTTACCTTAGAAACAGAAGCTTTGAAATTGATATAGAGGTAGAGGATGATACATCAATTGCTGATAAAGATAAACCCCTCCCCATATTTCTCAAGGTACGTTTTTTTTCTCTAACCAATCTTTCATTTCTCAGAAATGTTTCAAAGAATCAAATTGTTGATATATGTTTCAGAGTTTTGGCTTCTGCCATTTAAATGGTCTTCGAATGCAGTTCGCGGATGTTGAGTACAAGGTGAAGATTAGCCGAGCTTCCTCCAACAATCCTGTCAAGGCAGTTGTATCAAAGGTAGCTTCCCAGTTTGAGCATGACAATTACAAGCAGATACTCAAGGGTATAACATGAAGGGTGAAATTCTTGCTTTAATGGGGCCTTTCGGCAGTGGGAAAACAACCTTGTTAAAGATATTGGGAGGAAGATTGCAAGAAAATGTCAGAGGAACTGTCACATACAATGACATCCCATATAATACAGCTATCAATAGGAGGTATATTACCTATCCATCAATAATTCTTTTTTTCTTCTCTCTTTCTATTGCCTTAAAACCAAGAATATATAAAAGTCTTTCTTTCAATGTACATGATTTTATATTAACTTCCATACCGGATTGAGCAATGTTGTGCTAGGTGGGTTTCGTGACACAAGATGATGTGGTTTTTCCACAATTGACTGTAGAGGAAACCTTACTTTTTGCTGCATTCTTAAGACTTCCAAGCAAGATGAGTGGACGTCAGAAGTATGAAAGAGCTGAAGTGATTATTAAAGAATTAGGCCTGGAAAGGTATGTGAGCTTCCTTTCATGAACTTCTTTCTCGCCCTTGATTACAAAGCACCACAATCTAATACTGTCAAAAGAAATTGAACATGATTGTTGCAACTGTTCATTCCTAAATTTCACAATCATAGATGTCCTTACACGAGAATAGGTGTAGGACTTATTATAGGCATATCTGGGGGAGAGAGAAAAAGAACTAGCATAGGGTATGAAATCCTTGTTGATCCTTCTCTCTTCTTGCTCGACGAACCAACTTCAGGCCTTGATTCGTCCTCCGTAAGGAAGGAACGAGTCGGTTCCCCTTTCCGTCTTTCGGTAGCATAAAGAAAATAGATTCAAACTGACAAACCACCAAAAGAGTGAGAAAAAGGGGGCAAGCGCACATTAGGCCATGTGCAACAAACAAAGTACAAGGATAGCACCGTACCCTCATTGTCCTCAATCTTTGGCACATCTGGATCGGGATCGGCGGAAACTCACTCGGTCTGCGTGTCTACCGGGGCACCATACTTACTTTTTTCTTTATGATATAAGGAGTGCACGGAACTTCATAAAGAGTGAATAGAATTCACTCTTCCCTGGAACAACTGTAAAATAAACTCCATCTTAGTCTACCCGACTTTGACTTTGACTTGAAAGAGTAAGTTTTCGCCTCTGTTGTTGAAAATTCAGGACCCGACATGTTCAGAAGTGAATGTCTTTATGACAATTCGTCAAGTAAACCTACGCCCAAAGTTCTTACGTAGCCGGTCACCGTTTGGCTAAGATCCTTGATGACTGATTCATAAACCACTAACGCTTTTAGTCTTGTGTTAAGTGTTCGCATAGCGACTAAGGTCATAACAACTTGATGTCAGACTGTTCAACACGAGGGACATCTAACTCCTCTAACACAGATAACATAAAGACTTGGAATAGATGCTTAACATAACGACTCGTATGCTTTCACGAAAGATAGAGGAGCGACTCCGGAGAGAGACATCTAACAACTCGACTAGAGCGGATCCCGAGACTTCACCCCTTCCTTTAATCTGTTAGGCACTACATTCTATAAAAAGAAAGTGAAAATGAAAGGTAAACAAAAGAGAGAACAAATGCGACAGAAAGCTTCAGAGCTTCGCAAGCCTGAAATTGAGTGTCCTTGAATTGAGCCTGTTGTATCCTTCCCAACCCAAGACGACAAGGCGGTAACAGAACTACGGCAACTCCAGAATGCATCATGCAGTTTCTTTCAACGCATGGGTTATGGCCTAGGAGAACTTATGCGACTATTGGCGTTGGGGAAGCCATGCGTTAGGTAAACCAACCGCACATTTCAAGCGAAGGAGTGAAAGCTACTCAACTATAATGGTGTGAGAGGACCTACAACGAGTTGCGGTTGCTTCGCAAGCAATACTCGATGGTATAGCGCATGCGTCTCATCGTCTTGGGAGCACTCGTAGTTGTTTGTGTCGTTGCGTTAGGGCAATACAACTACGAGAATCAGTCGTCCTAACGCTACTGTCAAAGCTACTTACGTTGTCCTTATTACCACTCGTCGGGTAGTTGTTCCGTAACACCAGTAGTCGTTATAGCACTAGTCCTTTTTGTTCGGCGTTAGGGGGCCCCACGAGTCATCACTAGCGCCATCGGTTGTTTTGAGCACAGATCGGTCACACTACCGGTTGTTTGGAATGCTAAGGCTGAAAGGGAGGCGGTCGGGAACACTAAAGGCGCTTGCTCTGGGCGCTAGGGGCCGTTGCTCACGCAAGTGAAAGGTTCTTTTGGAGCACTAAGGGCGACTAGTGGTTGCTTCGCTCGACAAGACTGAAACCTTCGCTTGCACAACTAGAGTTGTTCCGGCACTTTGAGTTGTTACCAATAGTAGTGTAAACAACATCCCCGAAACTAGCTCATGCGATATCCCTCGGTGTCTTTATGGTAACCAGCATGCGTTAGGGAAAGAGTATAGCAAGCCGAAGGCGATCCCCATAACTACACGTGATGGGGATCGTTTGGCATAACGCTCTAACGCACGTCGTTATGGCGCTTTGGAACACTGCCGATCGCCACCTCTTGCAAGCAAGCGTCGGTCACAAATGGGAATAATCATACGCTATCATAGGCCCTTCTAATTTCTTTGGACATTCTCAATGCAGCATGCACTGATATCCGCCTAGCTACTTACTACTCTGCAACACTTAAAATAAAAAATGAAATGGAATTCAAATTGATCGAGAAAAAGAACCGCGCTAGTCGGAATTTGGGGAAAGATAGAGAGCTCTCTAGGCTCTCCTGATCAAATTGAGAGTTCGCTTTGCCAGTCCATGAATATGCCGCACCCAGCAGTTCGAGGAGTTGGCCATATACGGGTCAAAGCCCTGCCTCGAAAAAGTCAGGACTTTTGGGTAGATTCCAACATCCGACCCATCTCTTTCTACCGATTCCCCAGGTTATCGGAATCTCTGGTTCGATCAGGACCAGGAGTCCCATTCATTCATTTATGGGAGCGACTCTCTGTTCACATTCTCCACCGGGTCATCAAGTGATTAGCCAGCTCAATCCATTTTTCCATCCGATGATCTTCACCCTAGGACTGACTCTGTTCGACCTGCCTTAATTGCCTAGCTAATGCTACCGTCGCAAGCAACCTCTCAAAGAATAGGGAGTGAACGACCCTTCTATCTAGATCGGTGATTCCGTTCGGCCGAGCCAGCTATCGAAAGTCTTGCAAGCAACCTACACTAAGCTAAGCGAGCTAGAAGCTAAAGTTAATCTTTTTTGGCATCTTTTTCTTTGCTTTGACCGCGACTTTGTTTGGTCTTCCTCTTTCCTTCGGCCCATCTTTCAAAGCTAGCAAAAAGTTCGAGCCTTCGGGATCTCTCTTGAACGGCGGTCGGTCAGTCCTTTTCTTCTGTTGATGCTGAGACTGATGCTTTGACTGTCTCCCATATCATTCGATAATAAAGATCCACTACTTGCCTTGTCGACGCTAAACTCAGTACCTCGCTTCCTTACTAGTACACCTACTAGACCCATACTCATTACGAATATGTTCACCAGACATCTGACTTAGCAACCTTCTGCTTAGACTGGCAACGATAAGGAAGGAGATCTATGGATAATGGGATATAGAAGTCAGGTGCGACGGTCAGCTCAGTTAGAGTGGAAGCGGTCAGGCAAGGTTATCGTCAGACAATGTAGTGCAAGCGACGGGTAGCGCTTGCCATATGAAGAAGGCGACTACAATGGGCGACGAAGACGATGTGGGCTTGCCATATAGATGTAGCGCTTGCAAGGCAATTCAGACGATGTTAGCAAGATGTAGCGCTAGCTAGGTTAGGGTAGCGCTTGCCGGAAAGAAGCTAGCCAGAAAGCAGGTCAGGCAGGCGAGCGATAGTACAAGCAAGCTAACACGCGGGCGAGGTTGAAAGGGTCTTGCGCAACCTTCGGATTATCGCAAGCGCAACCTTTAACCCCTTCGTCGACAACTTCTCATTTGTTCGACTACTCGTGGGGCCTGCTGTGTTTAGGTATAAGAAGCCCCACCCAGAAAAAGAGTGTAAAGTAGTACACATGTTATATTCTGTCCCTTGTAAACGAAAGAGCTCATGCCATAAATTGCTAATGAAGACAGGGTCCCCAGTCGCTGACAATTGAGTGTGGCATTCCATGCAATGAATATATCAGTCAATGACGTTGCCAAGGTAGATGTTTTTCTTTGACTTTATAGATATTGCGTATAAAGAGATATATAGCCAGTCCTCTAGGGCGGCCGAGAGTGTTATGTAAAAAGGACCAAGGAGGATCCTATCCTAAAGGAGAAGGAGGAGGAGTAGGAGCTAGCTTTAGGGGCGGAATCGAAGCGATGAAATTAGTTCATGCCACGACGATCTATATGGAAGGGAAGTTTTGCTGATGCATTCCTCTTGAGAATGAAGAAGAAGAGAGATCCTCTTTTTAACAGGAAAATTTGGTCACGTAGATCTTCTATTTCGCCGGAATTCGTTGATTGCTCGGTACGAATTTACAATGAAAAACTCCTGTTCATTGTAAGATTACTGAAGGAAAGGTTGGTCATAAATTTGGAGAGTTTGCTTCTACACGGAAACGAAGACCTTCGAGAACAGATATTGGACCGGGAAGAAAAAAGGGGAAAAAGTAAAGTCTAAGCGCATATGGCACAAAAAGGAAATCCTATTTCAGTAAGACTTGATCTGAATCGTAGTTCTGATTCAAGTTGGTATAGTGAGGGCGACCGCGAAAGTCACCGAATGGGTCAGTCTTTTAGTTCTCCCAGATTAGAATATCAAAGGAGGACGTTGCAGATGCCCGGGGCAGACACGACTTCTTCTAAGGCTAGAAGACCACTGGAAGACACCCAGGACTATAGCATGTCGTGAAAGAAGCACACTGGACGGGCGTGCTTCGACCGTGTCTCCGGGCACAGTTGAACATAGATATCATGAACGCGAGGTGCAGGATACCAGGCCGAGAAACCCGGGCAACCATTCCCCTATGTGCCAATCGCTAGCGCATCTAGGGCCCCGGCGCCCAGCTCAGCTGGAGAGGCCTAGCCTGATCTGAGAAGTGCTAATTCGGTTCGGATAGACTTCATTCAAGAATGCCACCACCCCGGGAATCAATAAGAAAACAAGTGCCAAGTTTCAGATCAGTGAATAAACCGAAAGGAAAGAAGAGACCTTTCTCGCTCAGCGCCTAAAGCGCACTATGCTCCGCTTCAACAAATGAGAGTTTTTGGTGGAACCGGTGAACCACTCGTGCTGGTTAGATGCATGGGACAGAGGGCTCGTAGTACCTGCTAATGCGGCTACGCAGTGGAAGGGAAGGAGCCTAAATCGACCCCCTGCTTTTTTTCTTTGAAAAAAGCAGTAAGGAGTAAGTAGATTAAACTATCGGATGAGACTAAGCAGCTACCGACCGTTCCGACGCGCCCTTGACCTATTTTGATTAAGACCAAAAACCTATCTCTAAAGTGGAGCCTAGTTTAAGCTGTCAAACAAGTGATGATTGAATGAAAGAAAAACCACTAGTAGGGTTATGGATGGAGTCTCGCTCAGTAAAGTGAGTTGTAGGATTCGTAAAACAGGAAAAAAGCCTTTACTTTCAAATGACAACTGCTTCTTCCTGTTGCGAGGGCCTTGAACTAAACCGCCCCCCGCCCGATCAAGTACCTGTTGCTTCGTTGGTAGGCCTACTTAGGTTAGGGTTCCAAACCTCAGTTCTTACCAACCTGCGGTGTGTAATCTACATCTTTCTAGCTAGAACTCGGTCGAATAAGAATCATTGATTCCCTCTGCTGTCAATTTCTTATTCCTTCATTGATTTCGGCTGGTGCTCCTTTCTCATCTCAAACCATAACTACTCTGAACATTAGGGAAGATAAGGGATGACCGCCTGAGCGAAGCGACCGAAGGAACTTGACTTATCCGAACCGAACGATAGCGGCTTAAAGCGTTGCCTATCACGAACAGCCTTGCTCCTTGATCGGCAGGGAGGAGCATCTCAAAGTATTGGGCAAAGGATGTTGCGTTTTGACTTTGTCTCCCGGGATCCACCACAGGTTGGGTTTGAGAGCCGTGTGATGGGTGACTATCCAGCACGGTTTGGAGAGCACTTTTTGTCTGCGCTGGTGAATGGAAGCCCCCTATCAAGCAAGAAGGAAGCGGCTCTTCCCAGAATCTTTCTAAATCACTTCGTGTCAGCGGGGCCTTCAAGCATCCGAAATACGCCGGGATTGACAATGACATAGCGTTCCTGATAGAAAATGACAACTCCTTCAGAAAAACAAACTTATTCAAGTTCTTTTTCCTAAAGAAGTCCCGCTCCGACCGCCCGACGAGTCATCTACTTAAAAGGAACCTCCCCGCAGTCTGCCCTTCCTTGAATTATTCGGTCATGCAATACTTATTGAATACAAAGAACAAAATTCATTTCGACCCCGTCGTAGTTCTTAATCATTTCGTGGCACCGGGCGTGGCTGAAGCATCTATGATGGGGGGAGCTAATGCACAGGGAAGAAGCTTAGATAAAAGAATACGTTCTTGCATTGCTTTTTTTGTAGAAAGCTCGACCAGCGAGAAGAAGTGTTTGGCCGAAGCCAAAAAGAGGGTGACCTACTTTATTCGCCAAGCGAATGATCTTCGCTTCGCGGGAACAACAAAAACCACCATCTCACTCTTTCCTTTCTTCGGTGCTACCTTTTTTTTTCCAAGGGATGGGGTTGGGGGTGTATAATAACCTTTTTTTTTAGGATGCCCCGGAACAACTCCTAGGTCAATTAAGGATAAAATGTTGGAACCTCATGGGTAAGGATAAGGAAATGGAATTGATAGAGAAATTCATAGACCTAAATAGGATAGGAGAATTGATAAGGGGAATATAGATGATGATAGAGATCATACTGAGAAATAGAACAATTCCGTACTGGTACAACTATTATTTGAACGAAGTGAAAAAATGCGATCTTTGTTGTATAATAGAACAAACACTAATACCTTAATTGAATCGGTCAAGATCAAATCTGTTTATCAAAGTGATTCTCCGATTGCTCAAGATATCTCTTTTCAACCGAGGAACAGAACAAGATCATTTCATTCCATTTTTAGTAAAATAGTGAAGGATATTCCATTAATAATGAAATAAGGGGTGGAGGGGATCCGTATATGTTGTTCAGGTCGATTAGAAGGTGCATAAATAGCTAGAGCTGAATGCGGAAAGTATGAAAAAACATCTCGTAATGTATTTAACCAGAAAATAGATTATGCTCCTGCGGAAGTATCTACTCGTTACGGAATCTCAGGTGTCAAAGTGTGGAATTCATATAGTAAAAAAAAGGGACGTGCTATATCCGAAACGTACGAAATATAGTAAATATCGTAAAGGCAAATGTAGTGGGGTTGCAAACCGGACGGTACACAACTTGGTTTTGGATGATTGGCACTAAAAGTTGTAGAGTTGGTCGTCTTTCATATCGAGCCATTGAAGCAGCGCGTCGTGCTATAATCCGACATTCCATCGTGCTATGAGCGGACAATTCTGAAGAAATGGTAAGATATGGGTAAGAGTTCTCGCAGATATCACTATTACCGGGAAACCTACAGAAGTAAGAATGGGAAGAGGAAAGGGAAATCCTACGGGTTGGATTGCTCGTGTGTCCAGGGGACAAATCCTATTTGAAATGGATGGTGTGAGTTTGTCAAATGCTCGACAAGCCGCTACATTAGCGGCGCATAAACTATGTTCGTCAACCAAGTTTGTTTTGTGGTCGTAAGCTTATAAATCTGACCCAAATTCTCCATTTTGGTACACGCCAAAGCATTCCATTTCGGTGGATTGAAAGAGCCATCAATCACTATGATCTGTTTCTTAGAAAAGAAATTGCGTAAATTCTTCCTTTTTTTTCTCCCATGCTTTCCGTTGGTCAACAACCAACTAAAGTGCTCTATACTTCTTCACTACTCGTACATGGAAGGTGGAAGAAATGAAGTCTCTGTTTTTTTGGGGGGGGAGCAGAGCAGTCAAAGAATGAACCAAACCAAATGATTGTTCTAGAATGGCTATTCCTCACAATTGCTCCTTGTGATGCAGCGGAACCATGGTAATTAGGATCTCAAGACGCAGCAACACCTATAATGCAAGGAATAACAGACTTACATCACGATGTCTTTTTCTTCGTTATTCTGATTTTGGTTTTCGTATCATGGATCTTGGGTCGCGCTTTATGGCATTTCCACTATAAAAAAATCCAATCCCGCAAAGGATTGTTCATGGAACTACTATCGAGATTCTTCGGACCATATTTCCTAGTATCATCCTTATGTTCATTGCTATACCATCATTTGCTCTATTATACTTAGTGGACGAGGTAGTAGTAGATCCAGCCATTACTATAAAAGCTATTGGACATCAATGGTATCAGAGTGCGCCTCTTCACGAGGGTGATTAAAGTGCAACGAAATGCCTTAAAGTTGAATATGGTTCGCGAAGCATCTGGCTTACCGGTAATCTCCCATTCCCGCCGTCGAGAGACTTTAATAACTATAGCATGCAAGAAACGTGGAGTTGAGGTGGTTAGACCTATACCCCAAAATGCTCCCAGCATAGGAGCCTATGGTTCCATTCTTGTTGTTGCTGGACACGAGAAATAGATGCTCAGCCTGCAATGTCCGATAATGGCACTGAAGTAGTGAATCTATCGGCACTATAGTAGTGGTATACAACTTTGGACCTAACAGCCAGCCTAGTAACCTTTCGGAATAGGGGATCCCCATTGGCAACAACCACGGTAGTAGTTGCGGAACTACTGGGCCGGGAGAGGACAACCTCTTGTTCCCGCTCCTCTTTCTTCGCTTCGGGGACGGAGGTCCTACGGTAGGTAACACCAGGCACAAGCAAGTTGACCGAAGGGGACCAGCGCTTCTACTCCTCCACCGAGGAGCCGTTCTTGCGAGAAGCAATGGATGTCGTGAACGGTGGGAGGTCACAGAGAATTGACCTATTCATAGAGTGATCCTATGATCGATACAGGATATAGACTATCTCATTCTTTATTCTATTCTATTTCTGAAAGAAAAAAAAAGAAGGGTGACTCAACTTCTCAGCTAGAGTTGGTGGTGGGACCTGTTCGCATAATGCACGCTGGAACGTGGGAATTCGAGGTCTCATGAACTACTACTAAAAACCAACTTTGTTTTTTTTTGCTTGTGGACAAACGATATCTGGTCAGGCCTATGGCTGGATCCTTTTAGATCTACGGGCCGGCCGGCCCCGGCCGTTTACATGAGCATAGGGAATCTATACTCGAGCGTTCCACTGGGCCCCTGACAGGATAGGTGAGGAATCACTCTGGATCTTCTTTTTTTGGGCTACAACATCGCCGAGCCGACTAGCATCCCAATCCACTGTGCATTTTTCGAACAAAGAAGACGACTATAGGATCGAATTCGCTCTTCAAGAAACTGCTCGTCCCACACCTTCTGCCTGTCTCATATGTGTGGAACCTGGTCTTTTTCGGTTCCAGCCTCTCCCTTGAATACATAGGGTAGGTAGGGTTGGGTGAGAAATGGTTCCCTCTTGCCAATAAACTTTCCCCGGCCTTCGATTAACCTTACTCATAAAGGGTCTTACGGTCAGGAGAACTACCTAACTAAAGAAAAATAGTGTTCTTTCTAAGAGTAGGTGTGGAGAGCTTTTTGCGGGGAAACTTGCAAGTAGAGTTTGGGGGGAGGCGGGAGTCGACCCTACCTTATGAGTATTCGGACTATAACAGTACCGATGAACAGTCACTCACTTTTGAGAGTTATACGATTCTAGAAGATGATCCAGAATTGGGTCAATCACGTTTATTAGAAGTCGACAATAGAATGGTTGTACCAGCAAGAAGTTATATACGTTTTATTGTAACATCTGCTGATGTACCTCATAGTTGGGTTGTACCTTCCTTAGGTGTCAAATGTGATGCTATACCTGGTCGTTTAAATAAGACCTCTATTTCGGTAAAACGAGAAGGAGTTTACTACGGTCAGTGCAGTGAGATTTGTGGAACTAATCATGCCTTTATGCCTATCGTCATAGAAGCTGTTCCTAGGAAAGATTATGGGTCTCGGGTATCCAATCAATTAATGCCACAAACCGGGGAAGCTTAAGCGGAAGTGAAAGAGGAGGGTGAGGGAAACCACTAAATTGAGGGCCTCGCTCGCTCGCTCTAACGCTCATTTAGTAGACAGCAAGTGGAGTGCATAAGCCCCTTTAGAGATAGGGTGAGTACTACACGAGCTCGTAAGTAAAGTACGGAATGAGCCTTGTCTATGAAGCAGAGCGACCTTATCTTGCTTGCTTCTGGCGAAGCTTCTAGCTCTAAATAATTGGAATTCTGGTATGGCAGGAATACTGTCGACCATTACGAGCAATAGCGAAGCCAAGCCGTATAAAGGCGAGCAACCCTTATAGCAATAGCAAACCGCCTACTTATAGCCGGTCAGTCAATATCAGTAGGGGTCCTCTTGCCTAAAAAAAGGAGTCAGCCCAACATGGGTAATGATAGACAGACCAAAGACTTACGCAGTCGTTGCGTCCTTGCTTTGAGCACCGGCATAGTAGAATTCGAATCCGCTGGCTCAGATGAGTGGCTCTTGGCTTCGTAAACATATCTATGTTGTTACTTTCTCACTACCAATGAGTAGGCAGCTTTGGATGCTTATGGAGATATGGCTTTGGTAAAGATCTGCTTAGCGTGTGCTTTCTTGGGTGCTACTTAGAATAGAGATAGTCAGACTCTAACTTGAGAATGTTATAGCGCTGTGAAATAAGGACATTCTAATCGACCCGATTGGCTCTCGTTCTGGTTTGGCGGAAAGGTGAAAAGCACTAAATCTTTCTTCCTGGTTGGTGTACTAGCGCGAGGCGAATCCCAACCCCTTCGTTAGCTAGATTAGCTTTCATTCTTTTCAATCTATATCAGATCCTCCATTACTTTTTCGCCAATACCTTTTAGCTTTCCTTTAGCCGCTACTTTTTCCCAGTCCACGCCCAATCAGAGTAGTCAGTGTGCCTGCTCCGTCCTTCTTTGACGAAATGGATGTTGTAGGAGAGGTTGGGAATGAGGGACTTCGCTAAAGATGGTCTATCTGTGCGCGAGGAAGGTCTTTTTCCTTTCTCCTTCCATTGCTTGACTAGGTTTGCTTTGCAAGGAAGGGAAGGCATCCGTGCAGGTAGAAAAAGGCGGAGGTCAAGCTACAGGCACAAGGAGGT